TGCTCCCCCTCGCCCCCGGCAGCGCGGCAGCGCCACAGGCTGGGATTAGGATGGGTGGGCTCCCTTTGACCCGGCCATCTCAGCCAAGCATCGGTTGGCTGGGTGTCCCTCTCTCTGGTTCAACTGATTGAATTCTTGCCGTCTTGGACGCTGCTGCTGCTGAGGCTGCCGCCGCCCGCCCGGCCGGAGAGCGTCCCGAGGCCGAAGAGAAGGCCGAGGCTCGAGCAGAGCCGAGCCGAGCGCGCGGCCCGAGGGCCGAGGGACCCCGGACCGGGGATTTCTGCAAAGTCCTTTGGCATGTCGGGCACGTATTCACTTGGCCACTGCTTCCAGGGGGGGACCACTTAAGTCATGTTTTACATTCATGAGGTTTAGTAAAGCGCATGTCCATCCATCCATCCGTCCATCCATCTATTTATCTATCTGTTCATATATCCATCTACCTGTTATTTTGATGGAATTTGAGATGGAGTGCTCACCAGTGACCGACGGGTGACCGGTTTACGCAGGGTTGGGTGGTGTCTCAGGTATAAGGCAGAGAATGAAACAGCTAGAAGGAATTTGAGCAGGACGGATGAGCGAGCAAAGAGAGGGAGAGAGAGGGAGAGAGCGCCAGAGAGAGAGGGGGGGAGGGGGGGGGGAGGGAGTGAGGGAGAGAGCGGAATAGAGGAACTCGGCCGCAAAGAACGCCCCCTTCTCTTCCGAGCGCGCTTTTGCACACCGGATGAGCCGTGCTCCCCAATCAAGGCCGATCGGTGGCCCCATTCACATCGTATATGGCGCGGCATCCTTTTTTCCTCTTCTCCCTCCGTCCTTTTTGTTCCTTTTGATACTTTTCCTCCCGATTTCTCTCTTCTCTCTCAAGCCCGCTGCTCTACTTCCGGCCGTTCGCATAGTGCCGTTTGTTTCTTTCGCCGGGCAATATTGGACGCAATAATAACGTTATCGGTGGGGAAGAAGAGGAAGAAAAAAGGTCATCATTGTGGCACCTCACGGGTCATTTGTGCCCCCGCCCCCTCCCTTTCCCCTTTTCCCCGTATCCGCCACAGTTGTGCCTGCAGCGGCTGCGCAGAGATTCGCCAAGCGCCATAAAATGACAGGAATGCTCGGCTGCGACTTGGAAGCGTTTTCCGCGCGCTGACAGCCGGCAATAGTCCCCCCCACAATCCCCACCTTGGGGGGGTCGCGGAGGTGGAGAGCAGTTGGGGGTGTGGAAGGGAGGGGGGGGGGGAGCGGCAGGAACTTGTGACCGACTTTATGGCCCGGAAAGAGCAGGTGGCGCGGCAGAGGACGCCGAAATAACGCGCCCCACACTTAGCAGAGGGAACACTTTGAAAAGTGCTCGGCCCGGCGGGGTGTAAGCGTCGTCATGCCATGCCGCGCCCGCTTAGAAGTATGTAATGCAGTGACGCGCGCTTCTTTTCCAACTTTTTCGCGTCTGCCTTATTTTATTTTTTCTGGAAAGAAAAACTTTGGCGTGGGTCCTATTTACACACGTTAAGTCACCCACGTTAGGTGGTTGTTCTCATGGCGTTTACTTTCGCCGCACCTATAAATGTAAAAATAGTTGTAGGAAAACAAGCAGTTTTGCGATGAAAAACAGCAAAAGTTTTCTTGACTTAAAACATTAAATTTGTTGTAATGCAACAAAAAAGAAATGAGTCACGAAGCCGCCAGGATGATGTTGGGAAAACAACGTTTCGGTTGTTCCTGAGCAGCCTCATTTTAATTGAAAAGACTGTTTTGTTGGTTTTGTTGTACCGCAGCACGAGTTGCTATGAAAATTAACAGCCAACTTACTGCTAATTTTCATCATTTTTAAACAGTGATACGGCTGTGTCTCACCCCAAAAAATGTGTTCTCAATTTATGTATTGCTCCAAAAACTTTGAGCCCCATTTATTGTTTTAAGGAGCAAATAGGACTTAAAACAAAACAAAAAATGGGGCTTAAAATTTTAAGAGCAATACTTGAATTATGAGAAGACATTTTTGTGTGTGCCGTTTGAGACGGACGGGCCTCGGTGGTGACCCGCCGTTGACTTGAGTGGACTTGAGTGACTTAGCCGTTGTTGTTGTTGTTGTTGTTCCGCAGTGGTGACGCAGGCGTACTCGGTGGAGGCCAGCTCGGAGGAGGCCCCGCGGGGCTGCACCGCCGTGCTCCGCTGCTCGCCGCCGTCCTTCGTGCGCGACCTGGTGCGGGTCGTGAGCTGGACCCAGGAGCCGTCCTACCACATCTACCCGTCGCAAGTGGGCGGTGAGTGAGTCCGCGCGCCGTGTGTGCAAGCGCGGTACTACACGGCATTTCCATCCCCCTTTGTTGACACCTTTTGTCCCCCGCCAGAGTGCAGTCCGCAGGGGGGGAGCGGGGCTTCGCTTCATGGAGGGTGCACGGGGCCCACGCAGTGTCGTGTCGAGAGTCCCTGTGCTACCTCCCCCCCCCCCCCCCAGCCCAGACTCTGGCACGACAATCCAGACTCCCCCGAGTTCATTATGACTATAGAGTGGATCAGTGATGCACCTGTGGCCCCCGAACATGAAACCCCCAGAGGTGAACACTGCACCGCGCCGCGAGGTGCGAACGAAGTAAAACAATTAATCAAACGGTTTAAAAATAAGGGGACTTATTGGGGAAGCACAACATATTTTTAACAGTGCACACACACAAAAATCTTATGATCCTCTTTATTCATAGCTTGAGCATGTTTACAGAATTCAGTTATAGCTATGGATAAAAAACGTTCATAAGATTTTATTGTGCAGAATCGTTTTGAACATAAACGTATTTCGTCTGCTCTGACTAAATTCTTAACATTATTTCAATTTATTAGGACTGTTTCAAAAATGTGTTTTCGCAGTGCTTAAACGGCCACGGGAGGGGAGGCCATAGCCCGGTGATCGGCCGATCGGCCGCGATTGAGATGGCCAGGCGAGGGAGGAGGGAATATCCATCTAAAATTAGACGCGCGTTTCCAAGCGGCGCCATCTCCTCAGCGCCCCACTACGCCCCGCCACGGCACGGCGTTCAACCGATAATAATAACGGGCAGGGCAGCGGCATGAACGTGATTGTGCGGGAGAGAGAGAGAGGGGGGGGGGATATGGTTGGATGTGCGTTCGTGTTGTGAACCAGAACACAGTCGCATTAAGCACAAGCCCAGCACAATAAAGCGACCTTTCTCACCTCTCTCTCTCTCTCTCTCTCTCTCTCTCTCTCTCTCTCTCTCCTTACCTCCCGTTCTATACACTTTTTGATTCGGTAATGTATGAGCTAGGAAACGGGAGAGAGAGAGAGAGAAAGACAGACAGACAGACACCACAGACAGACACACAGACAGACAGACCGGTAGCGGGCTTGGAGTGCGCGCAGGTGGTGCTGGGTGCCTGTCCGGCTGCGTGCCACCTGCACACGTCCGACCTGTTGTTGCTGGGGATAGGTTCGCTCGCCCGCTGCGGCGCGGCCGGGTGGCGCGGAGCTTCACTTCGATGCGGCGCCGGGTCGGGTCCGGTGAGATACGGCCGTAAGCCGCTCGGAATATAAGTCTTGAATAAATCATATGCGGCCGGAACATTATCGCCGGCGATTTGCAGCGCGCGGCGGGCGGGGCGAGTGTGCCGGGATCTGAAAGAATAATAACGGGAGAAAGAGAGTATCGCCGAGTGGGCCGGGGATGGACCCGGGCGTCGAGGCGGTCCTCTACGATAATCACCCCGGCCGGTCAGTTATTCCTCACTTCGTCGTCGTTTTTACAATTACCAAATCATTTACCTTCACACAAACAAAACAAATTTTTCAATCACGAAGAATTCGGCCGCTGTGCGAGCATTAGTTATTCTGACTTGCTTATGATGACCAACGCAGTCTCTTTTTACGCTTGCAGGCACCATCACCACCATGACCCTGATAAACACTGGGACTATATTAAGTCACTGCCATCGAGGTCCACCCCCTTCCCTTTCCCACCCTTGGCCCCGGAAAGGGGAACTGGGGGCGGGGTCGTCAACCCCTTCTTCCTCCCCTTACGTCCATCCATACCCTCCCCCTTGGGCCTCTCCTTCGCATTGGGGAAGGAGGGATGCAACCCGCAACCGGATAAAAATAGGGGGTGGTCGGGCGCCAAAGAGCTGCGGGGGTGGAGACATCGAAGACGCAGTTGAGGCGCAAATGGTGGCGGTGGCCGATGGTCCGAGGCGCGGGTTGGCGGGTGTGGCAGAATAGTGGGAGGAAGACAGGGGAGGGGGAGGGTGTAGCTGCAGAGCCTTCACGACACGACCGCAAACTCGCCCACTGATTGCGAATTAATGAACCAATTAAAATGCACTTGGCTCTGGGTGGCGTGTGGTGTGGAGGTGAGGCGTGCGGGCGGGGTGGTTGTGCGTAAGAGTCGCTAGAGCGCAGCGGTTCGGGACTCGGACTACTCGCTCACTCTCTCTCTCTCTCTCTCTCTCTCTCTCTCTCTCTCTCTCTCTCAAAAAAAAAAAAAACACACACACACAACACACTTATGTTGTTGACGGACCAGCAGCGCTTTCTACTCCCGGCATTTCCCGCGGGACGCGCAGAATTTGGCAGCGGTATGACACTAAGGGCAGGACAACCATTCGCGGAATTCCGGCCGGCATGCCGTGGCTTCGCGAAAGCGTCCTCTTCGGTCCTCTTCCTCGTCTCGCCCCGTCATATTGCAGCAGCAGTGACGTGCCACGACACGCGTCGCTGCGCAAGTGCGCGCCCGCCGAGTCGCATCAAATGGTAAAAGAAATACCGCTCCCAGAAGTGAAGTGAGTCATACCTCCTCCTTCGTGCGTCCCGGGCGGAGCGCCTGTGGCCAGCGGGATAGGCCACCTGGCGAACGCGCGCGAGTGGCGGGCTAGTCGACCTTCCTTGACCAAGAGGCCAAACCGGCGGCCACAGCAGCAAGTCGCATAAAATCGACACCTGAGAAGAACAACCGCTTACCTCCGCGGACTGGAAACAAACCTGCTTACCTCTGCAACCCTCAAACAAAACCGCTCACCCCTGGGACACGCAAACAAAGCCGCTTAAATGACTTTTTTTACACATTTTGAGATACGAGTAAAAATTGTCTTTCGAATGGTACCCATGTTTCAGAATGTGTAAAAAAAAAGTCATTTAAACGGCTTTGTTTGCGTGTCTCAGAGGTGAGCGGTTTTGTTTGAGGGTTGCAGAGGTAGGCGGTTTTGTTTCTAGTCCGCGGAGGTAAGCGGTTGTTCTTCTCAGGTGTCGAAATGCGATATCTCTACGACAATATTTGTTGGCTGAGCTAAATTGAAATTTGAATTGAACTTTAACTTTAAATGCTCAGCCCTGTGAGATAGCGCCACGGGAGGCAGACGGGAAGCTGGCGTGAGGCGCCAGACGTGAGGCGTGAGACGTGAGAAGTGAACAGGCTTGCCAACCAAAATCGCGAAAACATACCAATGACAAAGGACATAACTAAGTTGTAATACAAAGAA